GTCCACCACACCCGGCCCCCACCGGAAGGTCTGCTCCTTCTGCCGGTCAGCTTGCCGAAGCTCCTCTGCCCAGTCTGAGGCCCACGTCTGGCCCTTCAGGCCCTCCGCCAGCGTCACCACAAAGGAGCCCACGTCTCCTAGGGAAGGAAGAGAAAACAGCTGCAGGGAAGTGGCCTCCTGCCCTCCCAGCACCAAAGGCCCGAGGACAGCAGGAATCCAATAGCAACAGGAGGCAATAGCAGGAGGCAAGGTGCCAGGCCAGGGATGCTCCTAGAGCAGAAGAGGCAAAACACCCCCCACAGTCCTGCCAGAAGCAGGTCAGGGCAGCCAAGGCCAGAGAAATGAAGGTTTAGGAAGCACTAAGTGGGTTAGAAACCCAAGCAGCCTCGTCGCCTGCCTCCTCCTCCTCACACCCTAGATCAGGCAGTGCTGTGAATTCTGCCTTAAAACACATCACGAAAAGCACCTCCATCAGCCAAGCACACTGCTTTTGAAGTGACCGATAAACAGGCCAGTGATATATACACTTTCCATCATCTCCGTCTTCGAAGTGATCCCACAGAGGCTCAGAGAAGCCGAGTCTCTCATCCCGGTCCATCCCCGCTCCAGGCCTCGTCGTTTCTGCCCTGGCCTGGTTTAACGGGCCCCTGGCCTCCACCTGCCCCCTCCAACTCGCTGCCCACCAGCTGCTACAGTAGACCTTCCCGAGCTTGAATGCAACAGCGCCACTCCTCTGCTTGACACAAGAGCTCCGTGTAGCCTACGCTGCAGCACAATGTCCTTGGGACGACGGGCAGAAGCAGACCACAAAAAGGCTGTGGGAGCAGACTGAACAGGGAAGGTAGGACAGGACAACAAAAGCCTCGGAGGACAAGGAGGCAGGTCTCTGTCCTCCGGGCAGCAAGCAGCATGGGAGGATTTGCAGCCAGGGGCGTGATCACATGCATGTTATTCCCAGGCCTCCCCTCGTACGCACACCCCACCATCTGTTCATCCAGAAGCACCCATCAGTCTGAGAGCCACAGGTATGTCTCCAGCTGACTGGATGCCCGCCGGGGCAGGGTTCAGGCCTTGCTCACAAGCACCCAGCTCAAGCCAGCTGCAGCAGAGGCCAAGAGAAGGACCAGGAAGAGCTTGTATGTGTGAGGGGGTACCGGGCGCTCACCCTGCACGGCTTCCTGGGGCTTCCAGAACATGTCTGAGTTCATCAACATCTCTTTCCGGTTACGGTTGACGATGATGATCTTGCTGCTGCGGCTGAGGACACGGCCGTAAGACAGGCGGAAGTCGCACACGATTCCTGGCGTGGGAAGCGGGGTCTCAGCGGCTGCAGGGCCAGTGTCCCCACTACCTTCCTTCACCCACCATGGCAGAGTAGATGCAAAAGTGACCCCCATTCTTCCTCTCTCCCTGTACCAGCGCCGGCCGCAATGACTTCACATCTCCCCACCCCTTGAATCTGGGCTGGCCTCGGCACATGCTTCGGTCAACAGGCTGTGGCAGAATGACGGCAGGCACTCCTGAGTCCAGGCTTCAAGAAGCCTTGTGGCTGCCACTGTCTCTCTCTCTCTCTTAAAACACCTTGCTCTAACCCTCTTGCCTGTTCTCATCCTCCACCAAGTGAACAAGCCCAGGCTGGCCTGCTAGATGATGAGAAACCTGGAGGAAGATGTAAGGAGGAGTCAGAGAAGTCAGTTAGCCCAGCGGAGGCCATGTGAGCCCAGCCTAACGTCAGCGAAGCCCAAGGATAAGCGCCTGCCCGCCCCGGATCAGCCCAGATGCCTTCTTGCCTCGCCAACTACAGACTCATAAAGGAGTCCCACCAACAGCAGAAAAACTACCGCCTAACCTACAGATGGAGCTTGAGAAATAAGTGCTTTTTTCAATGTTTGTGTATTTTTGGAAGAGAGAGAGTGCGGGGGAGGGGCAGAGAGAGACAGGGCGACAGAGGATCCACAGCACATGCTCCAGGCTCTGAGAGCAGAAAGCCCACCGCGGGGCTCAACCTCACAAATGGTGAGATCACAACCTGAGCCGAAGTCGTACACTTAAACCCACTGAGCCACCCCGGCGCCCCCATAATAAGCGCATTTTAAGTCACTGAGTTTTGGGATGGTTATCACACAACAGTGAACCAATACAACCATTACGCGGTGGCCAGGACTCCCCTTTACATGAAAATGCGCACGCCGCACGCGTACATGCTGTGTCCATCCTGCACAGAGCACACACGTGCCAACGCTGAATGTGAACACTACAGGTGCCCACTATCTGTGCCTCTTCCTCCATGCAGGGCTGAGCCACGCGGCCCGACTGCGAGCTTGCCAGAACTTCCCTGGCTGGATTTCAAGTACACGGCTGTCCAAACCCGGGCAAGGGGCAAGGGGCGAGGGGCGGGCCCAAGGTAAGAGGGTGAGTGCTTACGAGGGGAGGGTGCCAGTTAAGTACGTGACTACGAGGGGCAGGGCCACAGGGGGAGCGGGGAGCGGAGCAGGGACGGGGCCTGCAGGGAGGGAAAGGGGAGAGGGCAGAGGAGGCCGAGGCCCACCTGCCAGGAGGACCACGTCTGCTTTCTTCAGAGCAGCGCTGCGGTTCTGCCGGATGTGGAGGGGGTGGTTGCGGCCCAGCAGTCCTCGTGCCATCCCTCCCAGGAAGCAGGGGATGCCAAGGGTCTCCACGGCAGTCCTGGGGGTCCAGGCAGAGCAGAGGGGAGTGTAGCCAAGGGCATGCCCCCACCCCACAAGGCATCCGGAGACCGGGACCAGGGATATGACAGCAAGGGCAGGGCTGAGGGTTCTCACCGAAGTCTGTCAGCAGGTGTCGGGGGCAGCAGAGCCTGGCTCCCCAGCACAACAAGGGGCCTTTTGGCTCGGCTCAGGATTTCCACACAGCGCTGAACCTGGGATTAGAGACGGGGCTCAAAGAGCCAACCGTGTGAGTCACCATCAGCCCCCAAGATCCAGGCCCCACTACTGACTCAGAGAGAGGCCATCCTGCCAGGTGGGGTTCCTCAGGGAACCAGGGAAGAGAGGCGATTCACCTGCTGGGGGGATGCCTGTGGAATGTCCAGAGGCAGAGGCCCCTCAGGCCGAGGCTCCCAGGCTCCTGCAAAGAGGTTGGCCAGGTGATTCTCTAAGTACCTGCAAAGATGAGAGGAAGAGGCAGTTACCAGGATTAATGACTGGGGTTCTGGGAGCTGAAGGAGGCCGGGGTCAAGGCGGGAAGTGAGACAGGCACAGAAGTAGGTGAGCCACACCCCAGACAGACAAACCCCAGTGGCCGAGTCTCCAGCCGCCTGTTGCCCCTCAGAAGCTTCTGGCGACCACCCAACCTGACACAGACCCTCAGAACCAAGTGACACAGGTATGGAGTGCCAGGATCAGGGCCACGGCTGCAGAGTGAAACACACAAGGCTCCACGCTTCCTAGCTGTGTGACTGGGCAAGTGACTTAACTTTTCTGAGGTTCCTCCTCTGTAAAATGGAAAAGGGAATCTCTCTCCCAAGGTTCACTATTTATCCATTCAGGATATAAAGCACTTTGCAAAACACTCAATCAGGGAAGGCACTCAAGCCTCTTTCTCCAGCTTCCGACACCTCCTTCTGTCTCCCTACTCATTGGGTCGTAGGGCCCTGACTTCCCATGTGGGCCTCCAGGGCCCTGGAGACACAGAGATAAATCTTGCCCAGATCTGCATTCAAGGAACATCCAATCCAGCCAAGAACAAGGCATGTGGGGGGTGCCTGGGTGGCGCAGTCGGTTAAGCGTCTGACTTCAGCCAGGTCACGATCTCGCGGTCCGGGAGTTCGAGCCCCGCGTCAGGCTCTGGGCTGATGGCTCAGAGCCTGGAGCCTGTTTCCGATTCTGTGTCTCCCTCTCTCTCTGCCCCTCCCCCATTCATGCTCTGTCTCTCTCTGTCCCAAAAATAAATAAACATTGAAAAAAA